GTTCTAACTCATAGCTACCCTGTCTGTATAGGGTTTCTGAGAGCAGCTGTTGAATCTGAACTATCAACCTTGCAGTTAACAATCCAGCACTATCCTACAGCAGCACACCAGGACATACACTTATAAAGGTCCTATACTTAACTTAGAAAATGCATATATTTCTCCTTTTGCTGCAATAATAATGTACTCCTTCACTCTTATAACAAGGTGCTGACTCTTTCAAGAATGATGGGGTGTACTCCAGGTTTTTTACAACCTACACAGAAAATGGCCGGTACAGCTTAAAAGTACGGGCTCAGGAAGGAACAAACACTGTCCTGCATAGGTCGGGGCATCAACAGAATAAAGCTCTCTATATCCCAGGCTGGGTAGTGGATGGTAAGTAACATATGGCATCAAAAACCCAATGCTGACTTAAATAATAGACTTCAGAAATTTTACTACTCATGGTATCACTTTTCCCATTAATGGAATGCATTTCTCAGACACAATGGATGTTAGTTATTATTGGAGTGTCTGGGGGTACAAAGAGTCACCATGCTTGGTTGCTAACTAAAGGTCTGAAGGTTCAAGTCCACCCAGAGTCGCCTCAACCATGGAAAACCCTATGGAGCACAGTTCTCCGCTGGCCATGAATCATAATTGACTTGATAGTAACTGCTGCTTTTATTATTATTAGCAGTTGTTGTTGTTGTTTTGAAGTGCTGTTGAGTCAGTTCCGATCCACAGTGACCCTGTATAGGGTTTCCAAGGAGCAGCTGGTGAGTTTGAACTGCCAACCTTGCAGTTCAAATGGCATTGCAGTCCCGTGCATTAACCCACAGCACCACACCAGGACTCCATTATTAGTACCTGGGAACAATTTACCTACATAAACAAAAATAAGCCTAATTTTTAGTTAAAGATGAGAGAAACAGCCAGTATACTATAACCCTAAATATAAACCAGAATTTATCCTCAATTCACGAATTCTATAAAAGATTTGTAAACCAGTAAATATTTATGTGAAAAGTCAAAAGGAAAGAGCAGAATGGAATAAGGTGGTGATAAGAATTATGAACAAACGTGATAGTTTTCTTGTTTCCTTCCTTTAGTTTGTGACTTTTACAGACTTTCTCTTAGCAATTGAGATATCAGTATTGTTCCTTAGCACTTGAAGTAGAAAGGAAGGGAGATGGTTCAATTGATGGAAGGAGACTGGCAGGAACTTGTCTAGATTTATTTCCACCTTGAAAATACTCTGGGAAGTTAAGCAATTCTTTAAGGAAGAGAGATAATGAATTGTGTAGTAGTATTCACACTCTATGCACCCTTGGAGTCCTGGTGTAGTGCTGTGGGCTAATGCGTCAGACTGCAAAGTCATTTGAATTGCAAGGTCGGTGGTTCAAGCTCACCAACTGCTCCTTGGAAATCCAATTTGCTGTTGTAAATGTGCTGTGGAGTTGGTTCTGACTCATAGCGACCCCACATAGGGTTTCTGAGGCTGTAACTCTTTATGGGAGCAGAAAGCTTCATCTTTCTCCTGCGGAACAGCCGGTAGTTTCTAACTGCTGACCGTGAGATTACCAACCCAATTCGTAACCACTATGCCACCAGAGCTCCTTTGGAACCCTATACAAGGTCGCTATGGGTCGGAATCGACTCGCCGGCACTTAACAATGACAACATGCACCCTTAATACTAAAGGAATTCTCAATGTGATTCTGTCCTACACGATTCTGGTCAGGATACTAAAGGAAGACTCCCCTCACCCTTGAGTTTAAAAGAACCAGGACTAAGTCAATAAATTGCACAACTCTTGAAGAGCAATGTCACCATTTACAAGTCATGTTTGGTTTACCAAACTGCCTATATATATTTTCTGTGATGGAAGAATGGTGAAAAGGGAAGTTAATAATACTTAACTAGAAAACAAGCCAAAAGTTCTTCTGAATTGGATCTTATCTATTCACTAAAAATATTAAGTTGCAATACTCTAGAATACAGCTCTTCAGAAATAGCATTGGATAACAAATTTCTCATAATCTTCAAAAATATCTTTGGGTTATATTTTCAGCATATTTTTTTTCTTGCTGCATTATCTTGATGTATAATTTTATTAACTCAGTTAGTAAAAATATAACTGTGTATGTTAAAACATTAATAAAGGGAAAGACAATTGGGATAAGGGAAATTCGGTTCTGAAAACATCAACCCAGTATAAACCAGATTGCTTTTAATACAGGGAAAATTGAAGGGAATCCACCAAAACCAGAAATAAATGAGGATAATCAAACAACTCTGGAGAATTTCAGCAGAACCGCAACCGGAGGTGCATTTGTAGTTTCGAAACTTCCAACTTCAGGTTTGCCCCTGCCTGACGTATACCCACCAAGTCAGATCACAGACCTTGATGCCAAACCCCGTGAGGATCAGATCACTCTCACATGGACAGCACCAGGAGATGATTTTGATGTTGGAAAAGGTAAGGTGAAATATCATGTGGTACTCATTTATGTGAAAAGTATTTGAAAGAATATATGTTTCAAAAGTCAGGCTGAAAAAGCAATTCTTACTTTACAGATCAGTAAAGCATTGATTTTATAATATCAACTTATTCTAATTTTATAATGTGATAAATATTGTAATCAATCAAACATGGCACATTTTAATCTAGTCTCAAGTTTTCATATAACGCAGGTAACAATTGGCAAAGTTTTAAAAGTTAGAAATCAGCTTTTATTAAAAAACATAGAAGGCTTTGCATATGAGGCTTGGAATAATCAAACAATATTTTTAAGAAGACTAAATAAAAAAAAATTGAAAATGGTATGCTTCAATTCCTAAAATACCTGTAACCTTTCTTTCCCCTTAGTTCAACAGTATGTAATAAGAATAAGTGGAAACATGCTTGATCTAAGAGATAATTTTGATGCTGCTCTTCAAGTAAACACCACTGATCTGTCACCAAAGGAAGCCAACTCCAGGGAAATCTTTGCATTTAAACCAGGCAATATCTCAGAAGAAAATGCAACACATATATACATTGCCATTCAGAGTGTAGATAAAAGTAATTTGACATCAAAAGTATCAAACATTGCACAAGTAGCTTTGTTTATTCCTCAAGCAGATCCAAATCCTGATGAAAATCCTCAGAATCCTGCTGGAAATCCTAGTAATGGAGTTAATATTTCTTACTTGGTGTTATCAGTGGTTGGGTCTGTTGCAGTTGTTAGTATTATTGTAAGTACCACCATTTGCATTTTAAAGAAGAAAAGAAACGCAAGTAGACCTAGTACTGGGTTTTAATAAAAACCAACAAAAATGAAAGATATTTGTGAATGTTTAAATTTACTCTGCTTAATCATGAACTTATAAAAACTATTTAAGATGTCTGAAAGGATACTCTGGTTAAATATGAATATCGAGAGATGTTTGAAAAACTAAGTCAATATTAAAAGTTTATTTTATCGCATATAATGATAAATAAAAATGATGCTTTTTTTCATACTAGTTGTGTGTTATTTAAAACTGAAGTTTTCTAAAATATTTCAAACTTCATCAAGAAGTTAAAGTTGTGTATTTGGGTAGTCAAAATACAAGCATAAGAAAGCAAAAGAGCAATATTTAAAGGAAAATGCGTTTGTTTTGATCCTATCAAATGTGAATTGATGGTTTGATGTTCTCTAGCATCTCCAATTATTTGCTACAATGAGTATGGTCTTGTTTATTGTAATTTATGGAAATAGAGGATATCAGTCACCACCTGTCAAATCTACATTTTTTCTTACTTCATCTCAATACTAACATATCTATTCATGTTCCCTTAAACTGTCCTAGTCCCTTGTGTATTTTTTCTTTTATCATAGTAAAAAATTATTACTAGATATTGTTACTAGGTATTGCCCTTGTTTATAAAGAAAGACAAATAATATTTTTGAGCCATGACATTTTATTTCATTTCTAAGAATCACAACATAAGAGACATAACTGGACTTCAATTTTCACATCTGATTAATTTGGCAGATTATGTCCAAGTTACCATACTACCCTATATGTTAAAGGGTCTTTTGGTCATGGGAAAGAGTTTGAGTTGCTTTCTAAGTATAGAAGGAAATTATTGAATTTCTATAAGATCATTCTAATTTACATTTCAAAAATGTGTTGTGGTTGTTGTGTAGCAAAGATAGCTGAAGGAACATGAAAGGAAGTAGTGTTCAGTTAGGAGGGTATGGCAATGCTCCAGGGAGAGAGATGATTGTGGCTTGAACTAGAGTATGGGGAAATTATCTTATCACATAGTCAATAAAACCAGAGACTTCACACCTTTTTCCCTATTCCCTCACCTTTTACATCCAAGCAATCAAGTCAGTTACATGTTTTTAATCCTTTCTGTTTCCCTTGTGTTCATTGCCACTGCTTCAACTCAGCCTTTCCCATGTTCTCCTGAATAAAGATGGTTTCCTACTGGCCTCTCTGTCTTCAGTCTACCTTTCCAATCCATTTTCTACTTTGCCCCTAAAGTAATTTGATCAAAGATTTTTTTGTTTAAAGATTTTATTCACTCTTACACTGCATTCAAGAAAAAGTCTAAATGCCTTGAAGACAGACACTTTGCCTATTTTATTCACCAATGTAAATTGGGCAACTAGCACAGTTGTTATTAAGTGCCACGGAGTTGGTTCCAACCCATGAAGATCATGTATAGTGTTTCCAAGGAGCAGCCAGTGAGTTTGAACCAACCACCTTGTGGTTCAAGTGCTTATCCTACAGCACCACACCAGGCACCCAAATATTTGTCAAAAGCATGATCACTTGACCCATCATCCTTGACCTTGGCTTCCACTTCTCAAACCACTATGTCCTATATCTTAAGATCAGTGAAGACAAAATACTTTGTTTCCCCCAAAGTCTTCACTTTTTTGTGTCTCTGACTGTTTGTCTAGACCACCATATTCCCCTCATCCCACTCCACTTGGAACCCCACCCTCATCAGTCCTACTTATTTGTCTTCTGTCTGCATGTTGTTCTTGTTAGTTGCCATCAAGTCCATTCTGACTCATGGAGAACCTGTGTACAACAGAACGAAACACTGCCCAGTCTTACACCAGCTTGACAATGAGTTTGAGTACCCCATTGCAGTTATTGTGCCTTCCAACCTAGGGTCTCCATCTTCCAGCACTGTATCTAACAATATTCTTACAACAGACTGATACAAAGGCGGTGGATTGACCATATACTCCTCTTTTAAAATTCAACTTCATCCTTTCGTGGTTCCATCTCCACTGTACAGCAGGATGGACCACTCCCTCTTTTGTGCCCACTCTGTATACAGCATTTTAATACCCAGTAATTGGTAGCGTAGTGGTTATTAATCGTGCTACTAATCTCACAGTCAGTAGTTCAAAACTACCAGCTGTTCCGCGGGAGAAAAATGAGGTTTTCTGATCCCGTAAAGATTTACAGCCCCAGAAACCCTGGGCAGGGTCACTATGAGTTGGAACCGACTCCATGGCACACAACAACAACAATTCAATCCTAGATACATACCTAAAAAAACTGAAAGAAGGAATGTTTCCATTGATAAACATTGATAAACACTGTTCATTGCAATACTTTTCGCAATAGCCAAAATGGGAAAACAACTTCAATATTCATCACAGATGAATGAATACATAGAATGTGGTATGAATATAATAGAAGCTTATTCAACCATAAAGGAAATTAAATCATGATACATCAGCACCATGGATGAACCTGAAAATATAATGCTAGTGAATTAAGTCAGTCATATAAAGGCAAGAATTATATGATACCACTTACATGAAGTATCTAAATAAGCAAATGTAAAGACACCAAAGTTTATAAATGGTCACTAGGACTGGGAAGGAAAAGGGAAGTAGGAGTCATTGCTTAGGGAATACTGTTTCTATTAATGGTGGTAGAATAATTTAGAAATTATAGTGGTGATGTTTACACAACATGAAGAACATAATCAAGGTCACTGAATTGCACATGTAAAAATGTTGGATTCACAAATGTTTTGTTCCATCTTTTGTTTTTTATGCAATAAAACAGTAATATGTAATATATTCTACTGAGTAATCATGTAAGATGAAAACTAAAAACTGCTAAATTGGCATTTGTTGTTGTTAAGTATTGTCAAGGTGGTTCCGACTCATAGTGATCCTATGTACAACAGAATGAACAATGCCCAATCTTGTGTCATCCTCATAATTATTGTTATGCTTGAACCCATTGCTGCTGCCACTGTGCCACTCCATCTTATTGGAGGTCTTCCTCTTTTTCGCTGCCACTCTACTTTGACAAGCATGATGTCTTTCTCCAAGGACTGGTACCTCCTGATAATATGTCCAAAGTTTGAGAGACGAAGTCTCAACATCCTGGCTTTCCAAGTAAGGAGTATTCTGGCTGAACTTCCTCCAAAACAGATTTGTTTGTTCTTCTGACAGTCCATGATACTTTCAATATTCTTCTCCAACACCACAACTCAAATGCTTCAATTTATCTACAGTCTTCTTTATTCCTTGTCCAACTTTCACATGCATATGAAGCTATTGAAAATACCATGGCTTGGGTCAGGCATACTTTAGTCCTCAAACTGACATCCTTTCTTTTGTACAGTTTACAGAGGTCTTGCCTAATGTAATATGTTGTTTGATTTCTTGACTGCTGCTTCCATTAATGTTGATAGTGGATCCAAGCAAAAAAAAATCTTCGACTTCAAACTTTTCTCATGATGCAATTTACTGACAAATGGTAAAGATTTGTGTTACCTTTATATTGAGCTGAAACTCATACTGAAGGCTGTGGTCTTTGATCTTCATTAGTATTTTAAGTTCTCTTCACTTTCAGCTAGTAAGGTTGTACCATTGCATATTGTGTTTTGGAATAACCATTCTTTACAATGTTACCCAAAGCCTGTCATGATCTATACAGTTGAAAGCCTTTATATAGTCAATAAAACACAGGTAAACATCTTTCTGGTATTCTCCGCTTTTAGCAAGGATCCATCTGATGTCAGCAATGCTATCCCTTATTCCACATCCTCATCTGAATCTGGCTTGAACCTCTGACAATTCTCTGTCAATGTACAGTTGCTGTCGTTTTTTAATTATCTTTAGCAAAATTTTACTTTTATATTTATTACAAAATTTTAATTTTATTACTGTTGGGTAACCGCTCTTTGGAATGGGCACAAATATTGATCTCTTCCAATTAGTTGGCCAGGTAGCTGCCATCCAAATTTCTTGGCATAGATGAGTAAGTGCCTCCAATGTTGCCTCAGTTTGTTGAAAGATCTCAAATTGTAGTCCATAAATTCCCAGAGCCTTGTTCTTTGCCAATTCCTTCAATGTACCTTGGACTTTTTCCTTCAGTACCATTTTCTCTTGATCATATCCTCCCTCTTGAAATGATGAAGCACTAACCATTTCTTTTTGGTACATTTCTTTTTGTGTATTCCTTCCATCTTCTGTTGATGCTTTCTACATTATTTGATATTTTGTCCTTAGAATCCTTCAATATTATCAATTTAAGCTTGAATTTTTCTTCTGAAAAAATTGACTTTAGTGACACAGAATAAAGGAAAAAGTAATAGAACAAGATTTTTGAACTATGTCCCTACTGATACTGTAATAACATAACCTTTGGTTTCGTGCCTGCTCTTACTTAAAACCTCAACTAACCTTCAACCTTTTTTTAGTTGTTTCCAAAATTATATGAAGTCTTTTTCTGACTTAATTTATTCTTCCAATTACAAATATTATACTTTGACCTTTCTTATACCTGCCCTGTAATTTACCTTATTTCATCAAATGGCGGGGACTGGCCTCGACATAGGTGTTTGGTTCACGAGGTGGGGATATCTGGTGGCGGTAAAGATATAGAAAGACACACAAGGACACAAAGAGAGAGACAAAGAGACACCCTGAAACCAGAGTGGATGCGGGACTGGCATCAGGCAGATCCTGCATTGCAAACATCTCAGCCATGAGGGCCGTAATATCCTACATAGTAAACATCTTGGCTAAGCAGGTAGTATGGTAGCAATGCTGGACTGAGCCCCCTGCATGCTGTAACGTATGCCTTGCCAGTCGTAATGTACCTGGATTCGTTCTGCACCTCTGTTTTATTTAGGGGAGGAACTATACACAAACTGGGCGGGACTAAGACAAGGTACAGCTAACATACGTAATTTTCCAGATATTCAGGCAACTTTACATCTTACTTCGCAGGTTCAAATCTCACGACCACAACTTGGTTTCTCAAGCTTAATTAACATACCT